CTCCCGGCCACCGCAGCCTCGCCTGCTGGGCTCTGGCGATCCTTCCACCTCAGCCTTCGAGTAGCTGGAATTACAGGCATGCGCCACCACACCCGGCTGCTTTTTTGATTTATTGTAGAGATGAGGTCTCACTGCCCAGGTGGGTCTCGGACCCGCAGGCTCAGGCAATCCACTCACCTCAGCCTCCCAAGGGCGTGGGATCACAGGCTGAGCCACCGAGCCCTGCCTTAGTGGCTCTTAATGGCTCATCATTTCATTTCGGTAAAGATCCTAGTCCTGCAAGGCATGGTGGCTCACACCTGTAATCCCAGCACTTTGGGAAGCAGAGGCAAGATGATTGCCTGAGCCCAGGAGTTGGGGAACAGTCTATGCAACTTGGTGAGACCTCCTCTCAACAATAAATAGATAAATAAAAATTAGCCAGGTGTGGTGGTACATGCCTGTGATTCCAGTTACTTGGAAGGCTGAGGTGGAAGGATAACTTGAGCCTGAAGGATTGCCTGAGCCCAGCAGGTCTAGGCTGTAGTGGCTGTAAGCGTATCACTGCACAACAGCCTGGGTGATGGAGTGAAGCTCTGACTCAAAAAAATTTAAAAAAACCAAAAAGATCGCCAGGCACAGTGGCTCAAGCCTGTAATCCCAGCACTTTGGCAGGCCAAGGCGAGTGGACTGCCTGAGTCCAGGGGTTCAAAAGCAGCTTGGGCAACTTGGCGAGACCTTGTCTCTACAACAAATCAAAAATTAGCCTGGCGTGGTAGTGCACGCCTATAGTTACGGCTACTTGGAAGGCTGAGGCGGAAGGATCGCCGGAGCCCAGCAGGTCAAGGCTGCAGTGGCCGTGAGCGTGCCATTGCACTCCAGCCTGGGTGACAGAGTGAGACTCCAACTCTAAATAAATAAATAAGTAAATAAATAAATATTTTTTAAAAAGATCCTAGTCCTTCCAACAGGCATACACTTCCACATCAGACCCTTCCCCCCACCTCTCTGACCTCATCTCTACCTGCTCTCGCCTTCAATTCACTCTGCTCTGGCCACAGTGGCCAGATCCCATCTCAGGGCCATTTTACTTGCTTTTTCCCCTACCTGGGAGCTCTTCCCCTAGATATCCCAATGCCTTCCTGGCTTCCTTCATTAGGTGTCTTTAAGTGTTTATTCAAATGTCACCCTCTCAGTGAGGTTTTCCCTAACCACCTATCTAAACTGCAACACCTCCTCACTCAGTACTCTCTGTCCCTACTACTGCTTAGTTTTTCTCCATAATACTTACCTGAGATAACACATATTTATTTGACTTCTTTCCTAGAATGTGAGTTCCATGAGGGCATGGATTGTGTGTTTTGCTCACTGCTGTATTCCCTGCGCACAGAACGGTGCTTCACATATAGTGAATATTTTGTGAATGAACGCACATATACTAATACATCAAACGGATAAAATTGGACAACAGACTCTAAAGGGCAGTTTACATCTTCATTGTTTGGCCTAGACACCTCTTGTCTGAGGAACCCCTAAAGCACTTCTGCCCAACCAAAGGGGTTCCTCAGAGTATACTCTCAAAATTGCTGCTGAAGGCTTTGAGAGTGATTGAAAGCTTCTAAAGGGTAAGTGGCAATTATGTAAGTATTTATTTTAAAAGGGGTAGGCCTGTGGGACTCAGGCCTTAACCTGTGGGATCTCTTTTTTTTTTTTTTGAGTTGGAGTCTCACTCTGTCACCCAGCCTAGAGTGCAGTGGCATGCTCCCGGCCACTGCAGCCTCGACCTGCTGGGCTCCGGTGATCCTTCCGCCTCAGCCTTCCGAGTAGCTGGAATTACAGGTGCGCGCTACCACACCCAGCTAATTTTTTGATTTATTGTAGAGATGAGGTCTCGCCAAGTTGCCCGGGTGGGTCTCGAACCCGCGGACTCAGGCAATTCACTCACCTCGGCTTCCTAAAGTGCAGGATTTCACGCTGAGCCACCAAGCCCGGCCACCTGTGGGATCTCTAATGCCATCTCCAGGTAAAGACATGGAAGTATTTTGGTCAGGGTCTCAATCTGTCACTCTATTGCCTAGGCTGGGGTGGTGCAGTGGCATGATTATGGCTCACTGCAGCCTCGACCTCCTGGGCCCAGGCAATCCATCTGCCTCAGCCTCCTGAATAGCTGGGACTACAGGCATGCTCCGCCATGCCCAGCTATTTAAAAAAAAAAATTTTTGTTTTGTAGAGACGAGGTCTCACTATGTTGCCCAGGCTGTTGCCCAACTCCTGGCCTCAAGCAATCCTACCACCTCAGCCTCCCAAAGTGCTGGGATTACAAGCATGAGCCACTGTGCCCGGCCAATGCTCTTTTTTTTTATTGCCATCACTCACTGTCACTCCCTTGAATATTACTCCTATCACGGATCTTGCTTATTTCAATATCCAGCACATACTTCCAGACCCTTGGCTTCCTCTCTTCTAATGATCTCGCCCACCACATCCGAGTCACTTACTCCCTTGCCAAACCTTTTTTTTTTTTTTTTTTTTTTTAAAGAGATGGCGTCTCTCTTTGTCACCCAGGTTGGAATACAGTGGCATGATCATAGCTCACTGCAGCCTCAACCTCCTTGGCTCAGGCAATCCTCCCACCTCAGCCTCCTAAGTAGCTGGAACTACAGACATGCACCACCATACCCAGCTAATTTTTTATTGATTTTTTTTGTAGAAACACGGTCTCGTTATGTTGCCCAGGCCAGACTCCTCGGCTCAAGTGATCCTCTTACATCAGCCTCCCAAAGTGCTGGGATTACAGGCATGAACCACCATGCCTGGCCTCCTGTCAAACATTTGGCCTTGGCATCCTCCCATTTTCTGACTGCCACCTCTGATTCTTGTGGCTCACTTCCTCTAGGACCCAAACACTAAGGATATTGCCACCTTACTGGGACCATCTATCTACTGATGAGACCATCA